CCTGGGCGAAGCATTCGCACCTGAGTGCGATTCTATATATATATATATATATATATATATATTTCCTATTTTACCACCACCACCACCTCACCGCCGCAGCCGCCACCACCGCCGCCGCCACCACCACCGCCACCACCACCACCACTACCGCCACCGCCACCATCGCTATCGCCACTGCCGCCACCACCATTCCACCACCGCCGCTGCCGCCACCACCACCACCACCGCCATCACCACCACCACATATTTTTATAAGGGTATTTATGTCTTTTAAAACATATTTCATTTCTATTTCTTAAACCAACGAAACACTGTAATATAATTCCTAAAATCTATTCCTTCCGCGAACCAAACAATATAATACAATTCTTATTCTATTCCTTGTCTATTTCATTCCTTATGGAATAGCATTCCTATTACTCCAAAATTCATTCTGTGAACCAAACGTGTTGTGCTTTAAGAGAGAAGAAGGACTTGTCACACGATTACATTATTATTGCCCACATGAGCAGCTCAATTGATCATATGGGTAAAGTTTGGAGAAGAACATATGTACTTATTATGTGCAATAGGTTGCACGTTTGTCAATGTTTATGCCTCAGAAATTCTGTATGAGTTGTCTTATATTAAATTGTCATTTTTTTTATTTATAAACTTTATTTGTTGATTATTCTCTAAATGATATTATCTATCTATGGAGTAGTATTTTATTAAGAAGAATTATAGACACTTCGAGATTTGCAAGTTAATACATAAAGGTGAGATTTATCCCGTCAGTATTGATTGTGAATTTTTTCTGGTCATCTAGAAATAATAATTATAGACATTTATGATTTTTTTGTAATTAGAGACACCATTAATTATATCATCCCCATGAAGACCTTCGAAAAGTGTTCCAATTTTAAAAAGGTTTAATATACAATTTAGTCCTCGAATTTTTTGTTTTTTTTTTTTTTCATTTAGTTCTAAACGGCTTTTGGTGATTAATTAGGTCATCAACTTTGATAGTTTTACTAATTGAGTCATCTGTTAAAATAACTTGTTAATTTTACCCCTATTAATAACCAATTTAGTCATCGACTGTAGTAGTTTTAGCCAAGTTAGTCTTCGACTATAACAGTTTTACCTAATTTAGTCCTTCGACTAAAGAGATGCTTTTAACTTGCTTCAAAATAGATAAGTACATAAATGAATAAATCTTATACATTCTTAATCACTCCAAAAAAAATAATCATATCCCCTAAGTCAAAGATTACACCAATCGTAAGAATTATTTTTCCACCTCATAAATTCCAAAAAAAAATTTGATCTTGGCTATCGAACGTCCTCTAAATTCAAATTGAAAGATTAGTTCAAGTTTGGAAGTGATTAAGCTAGCAGGTATACCTATTCTAATTAAAAATACGAACTCAATAAACAGTAGATGAGTAGTACTGCAAATCAACTAGTATAATTCCAAAAATGTGCAATAACAAAACATAGTTTGTTGTTTGCAACAATAATAACATTTTTGCTATGATTTTTATAGATATTTGTAAAAATGAGAAGATAAAATTAAAATCAAAAGTATATGAGTATTTATGAAAGTTGTTTTGAAACATACCGTAAAATATGGTAGGAATTGATGAAAAGTAGTTTATCTGGTTTAGACAATGAGAAAAAGTCGGTAGAGAAAGTTGAAAAGTTTGGGTTTCGAGGGTTGGATTTCAATTATTTATATTTGCGAATGAAAAGTCTACAAAAATCCTATTTTGATAGTCTTTAAAAGTTAATAAGCTTTTGACTACCTGTAGATTTATAAAAACTCTTACTTTTAAAAACTCTTTAAAAGTATGAATTGAATACCGATAGACAATTAAAGAGTCATTAAAAATTTATATCAAATACCACAAAATTTTTAAAGTAGTTAAAAATCTTTAAAAAATTATAAAAATCTTCGGCTTGGAAAAGACAAGGCAACTTCTCGTTGTTTGTGGGATTTAAATCAATTTATTGTGACATCTTAACTATAATATAGTCATATGGTTTGGTGAGCAATTATTGTAATAATAATTGTTCACCAAACCATATGGTTATATTATAGTTATTATATATGACAAACCATATGGTTATATATTTATTACATGGTGCATAAAAATTCAAATTAACCTTAATTCATTTTCATCTCTCTTGCCTCATCCAGTCCATCCAAAAACTCACAAATAAACTTCAATTGAGATTATTTTAATGAGGTCAATCTTAAAAATTTAGTACATAGTATTTAATATTACAAATTTTTAAGAACAAAGTAAACTACAATAGTAATTGAATTACAATTTTCAGAGTCACCATGGAGCAAAATTTTTAAACCTTTGAGATTTCTAACAATTTTCAGAGTCACCACGGATCAAAATTTTTAGACCTATAATTTTCTAGAAATCTCAAAGGTCTAAAAATTTTGATCCGTGGTGACTCTGAAAATTGTAATTCAATTACTATTGTAGTTTTACTAAGTTCAATTCTTAAAATTTTGTAATATTAAATACTATGCACTAAATTTTTAATATAATTTAAGATTTGTAGTAATCACCCACCTTAAATACCAATTCTTATTTTAATTGTAAATATATTTATGTTCATAATTTTATCATAGCAATTCACACATAATTATTAAATAACAAAATTTTTATATATGAATAAACCTCATATATGATATATTTTTATAACATATTTTTCGTGCATCGCACGGGACAAATACTAGTTGTATTTAATAATGAAAATTTTATTTGTTTTTCCAATTTGCATCTCATTGTTATTTGTGAAAATTGAAGGTTCACACTTTAACTTACACTGCGTCCAAACCTAGTCGCATTTCAATCTTCATAAATTTGCATCCATACTTTCACTTATTATTTGTTGGATTCATATTTTACCCTTTGTTTGGATAAACAACCGAGCTACAAATAATTTTATTTTTTGAAAAGAAAAAAGCAAACTATATATTAAGAAATATTAATAAGGTGCTGGATACAAGAAGGGTAATAGCTAGGAAAACCAACTAGGGGATCAGATTGTGAACTTGCTTTTCTTGTTAAGGCATGAGCTAGTTTATTTTTAAATCTATGAATAAATTGAAAGGACACTGTATCAAAGTGTCGTTTTAGAGCCTGACACTCCTTAAAGGCACAGTTAGCATTGGACAAACCGTTTGACAGTCAGAGTATACTGTTATTTGTCGCCATCCAAGATCCTTCGCCCATGAAAGAGCTTCTTTAATTGCTAATGCCTAGGCCAAGTGAGGATAGGCTAGACACCAGACTGTCCCCGGCCCTTTTTTGCTGCCAGAAACTGACCATTCTCATCATGAACGACTCCCATCCGAGGTCGACGTTCGAAGCATGCATTACGTACTAGATGTGAGGCACTAGGTGGGAGTGCAGTAGGTCGGTAAAGCATTCCATTCGTTGAAGAGGGCAACAGCTAAGTTTTTTATTTCTCGTTCCATATGAGTTTGTTCCTTTGTTTCCAGATGGCCCAACACATAGCCACGCATTATTTGTGCTTAGTCTCCAAATCCTCAGCTCTTCATGCATTACTTTCCGGAAAATACCTAGCTTTGTATAGTTTGGTAGCCGTGGAATTTTGGTTTGTCAGCATTCTCCAACCTTGTTTTGCTAATAGGTAGAGCAAGATTAAATTCATGTAATTTTTTAAGTAAGCCCATCCCGCCATTTTGCTTCGGCACACTCATACGAGACAAAGAGATCGAGCCAATGCATACCGCCATTACTACCCTTGGTATTCCACCAATATTTGTTCATTATTCTTCCTAACCTTTCAAAGAAAGTGACCAAAAGATGGTAGATACTCGTGGTATGTTTTTTAATAAAACTTCTTTACCGCCACGTGATAATACTTTTTTATTTCATCCGCCCAACGGTTGTCGCATCTTCGTCTCAAGTAGGCAAACATCTCATTTTTATTCCTTCAATTCCCACCACCATTGGAAAACACAAATATCTGCCAATATTGTCAGACTGAGACATCCCGAAACTGGTATGCTGCAATCTACTGACATAATGTATGACTTGTATTTTTGCTAAAAATGATACGGGACTTACTATAATTAACTGCTTGACCAAAAATATTTTCATAATCTCGTAGGCACTTTTTGATTTCCTCAGCCTCTTCAAGTGTTGCTTTGAAGAAAACCGAACATAACTATCATCAACAAAGAAGAGGTGGGAGATACCGGGAGCTCCTCATTAGCGAAAATTCTGTAGAGAAGGTTGAAAAGTTTGGGGTTCCAGGATTGGATTTCAATTATTTATATTTGCCAAGTAAAGTAAATCATTTTCTAATAGAGTCTTTAAAAGTAAATAAACTTTTGAATAACTGTAGACTTTTAAACACTCTATAAAAAATTGAATCCAATATCAGTATATTTTCAAAAAAAAATTTAAAAGTATGAATTAAATACGATAGACTATTAAAGAGTCTTTAAAAGTTTATATTAAATACCATAAAACTTTTAAAGTCAGTTAAAAATTTTGATTGAATACCGTACTTGGAAAGGACAAGACAACTTCTCGTTGCTTGTGGGATTTAAATCAATTATTATTGGGACATTTTATTTAATAATGGAAATTTTATTAGTTTTCCAGTTTTCATCTCATTGTTATTTGTGAAAATTGAAAATTCACACTTTAACTTACTCTGCGTCCAAACCTAAATTTTGATTAACGTTGCATTTCAATCTTCATAAATTTGCATCCACATTTTTATTTATTATTTGTTGGATTCATAATTTACCCTTTGTTTGGATAAACAACCGAGCTACAAATATAGTTACATACAAATCGTATAAGTTACTGGAATGATTTCAGAATAATTTAACTACTTGGGTGAAGATTTTAATTCGATTACATTAATAGTAATTAATGTATTACCATAAAAATGAATACAAATTATGCATAATAACAATTTGTCACAAACTAATACAAAGTTGCAAATCCATCATTTCATAAACCATCTCCAAAACCAGTATTACTTTGATCAACACCACTTCCCGTGCCTTCATTCATACCCAATCCAAAACCACCACCATTACCTAATCCACCGTCGAAATCTGGTAAACCACTGTCATTCCCTCCACCAAAGCCACCTCCAAAACCTCCACCGCCACCAATTACTCCACTTCCAAAGCCATCCCCAATGCCTCCACCGAATCCACCTCCAAAACCACCACCACCACCTAATCCACCGCTGAAATCTGGTAAACCACCTCCATTCCCTCCACCAAAGCCACCTCCAAAACCTCCACCACCACCAATTGCTCCACTTCCAAAGCCACCCCCAATGCCTCCACCTAATCCACCTCCACCACCACTGCCATCACCAATCGTATCTACAAGTCCATCCCCCAACCCTCCCCCTATATCTTTACCTCCATCCCCACCTTCTCCAATCCCACTACTTATTCCACCACCTAATGCACCACCTTGACCAAAACTACCACCACAATTACCTCCTCCACCAAACCCACTTCCAAACCCACCAATTCTCCCTCCAAAACCTCTACCATCATTACCATAACCGTCACCACCTCCGCTTCCACCTCCAAAACCAAACCCAATACCTCCACCACCACCTCCACTTCCACCTCCAAACCCACCCCCTAAGCCACCTCCACCACCTCCACTTCCACCTCCAAAACCAAACCCAATACCTCCACCACCACCTCCACTTCCACCTCCAAACCCACCCCCTAAGCCACCCCCACCACCTCCACTTCCACCTCCAAAACCAAACCCGATACCCCCTCCTCCACCTAAACCAATACCCCCTCCAATATCATCACCTGCTCCACCTCCTAAACTTCCACCTTTACCAAAATCTCTTCCTACACCACCTCCAAACCCAATACCTCCTCCGCCACCTCCACCTATACCTCCCCCAATATCATCACCTCCAAATTCATCCCTTAGACGGCCTCCACCACCTCCACCAGCACCCCATCCAATACTATTGCTACCACCATCTCTTAAGCTTCCACCTTTACCAAAATCACCACTTACACCACTCCCACTACTTCTACCTATATGATCTCCCCCTCCAACACCCCCATTAATTACATTACCAACTTCATCTCCAAAATCCCGTCCAATACCAGCTCCAAAGCGTTCAATTATACCATTACCAATGTCTCTACCACCATCACCTTTACCCTCATTTTTTAAAACAAATTCTTTACCAATGCCCCCAGGTATGTCAATACCTCCACCAACACTTAGACCCCAACTACCATAAATACCACCCCCAAATTTGCCGTCTCCACCACCAATACCACCCTCAATACGTCCACCTATAGCAGCGCATGCTTCAAATCCACCAAGAGCACCACCACTTATGCGCCCCATGTTAATAACATTGTCAACAGTAGCTTTGTTGAGGTTTGCTCCAAGGCCACCACTTACACCAATTCCTCTTTTGTTGAGTAGTTTACTCACACCATTTGTTTCACTACTAATCACGGTTTTTAGATATCTACCTTTACTAGAACCATCTCTTACATGAACACCATTGCCTTCACCTTGGTTTAATCTTCCATAATTAGCACCTAAACCACTCTCACTACGCCCATTATCAACCATATACAAAATAAGCAAAACACAGACAACAACATAAAGAGTAGAAACCCCCATTTTCGGAAATGTTGAAAAGGGTCAAGAAATACTAAACACACAAGATAATAAGCTTTCTAAATGAGCATATATTATATATATAGCAAGAGACCCATAACCACGTACAGGTAGGACCAGACAACTAAGTAAATGCATTATATTCTCCAGTTCAAAATTTCCATATAAGTCTTATTATTAACGTAGTTCACGTTATTTCCGTTCACTACTTGATTCTAAGAATTTTGACTTTTGTCACACATATTTTGTTTTCTTATCAGAATGAGGATTTTGGGTTTCCATGCGCTGGCATATTTAGAAGAAGTTTTGTGTACTTGTTAATTGAAGGATGTGTTTTATTTTGACTAAAAGTTCAAACAAATATTTAGACTTTTGTCAAATATGCAAATATTTTTATCACCAAGTCTCCTAAGATTAATGTATATTTAACTTATAATAATAAAATTATCCAAGAAGTATAAATGAGATGGCTTAAGTCTCTTTCTTCTTAACCAGAAATCTAAATATTAAAAATCACCTTTCATGAGCAACTAATAATTATAAAATATTTTAACACTTATTACAAGTAATATTGTTTAAAATAATATTTGAAATCAAAATTAAGTACGAATATTATTCTCCCCTACCACTATTATATTGTATGTTATTGCATTGAATGCAATTATTTCCTTATCTGATCTCCAGTCAAGATAAGTATTTAACTTCTTCAATTCAATTCAGTGTACTGTATACATGGATCCCACACAATTCAGGTGACTTTGAGTCAAAATACAGATTATGCATATATCTAAATCAGATACTATAATTTATGGAGTAAAAAGATTTTATGCTGCTACTCACAAGAATAATGATCATGGTTTTTTTTTTTTTTTTTAATTTTTTTTTCATATTGATACGACAATATCATTATAGCTCTATTCAATTATAAATAATGGCATATATATAACTTATTACTAGTTCTTTTATGCGTTTTGCGCAAATGGAATAATGTCCAATGATTATTTTTAAATAAGTATTTCAAATTAAAGTATATCAATGCAATATTATGTCGGAGATGTTCATGCATATGCAAATAAATATTGAATTTTTTTTATTTAAATCGGTAATTTAAAGTATATAAATGCAAGATAATATATGAGATATTGATTATATTGTCGCTAAAATAAATGTTTGCAACATTGTAATAACGCTAGTCTAAATACTTAGACTAAAAACGATAGTCTAAATAAATACTACTTTTGGTTTAAATTTCTATAATTCTTCTTAATTCTCTTTTGGTAGCATTGTCATTGTCTTCATCTTCAGTACACGTCTTCTTCTTCTTTTTTTTTTTTTATTGGTAGTGTGTCGACATGTGCAATTGGGTTACTGGTGGTATCATAGATGGATTAATCGTGCAATGAGATTATGGTGTAGGAAGCTTTAGATTTGCCTTGTTATGTATATGATGGGATCTTTGTTGTACTAAACTCTTTATCTTATAAGCACCTATTAATATTTGGTAGTTGTAGTTTTTCCCTTACATGTTTCATGCGTTGTGAGATGTGTGTCATAGTTTATCATGTGAAAGTATTGAACAAAATATTAATATTTATTATATTTGTATAAAATACTTGGTATATATATATATATATATATATATATATATATATATATATATATATATATATATATATATATAACATATTTTGTATTATAACTTTGATATTTAATTACAAGATAATGTAAAAAGAAGACAATGGACAATGTAGTGAATATAATAAATTAATAAATTTGAAGGTAATGAATCTTTGAATTGTAGAAAATAAAGACAATATAACTAATGAAATTATATCTCTTTTAATTTTTTTTATAATGAATAGTTTTTTAAAATAAAGGCATTATAGACATCGAATTCTAAATTAATTAAATGCATATGTATTGTTTTTTTTGTTGTAGCTACTAATTTATTTAATTTAGTAAGAGTAATAAAGTGGCGTACATATTTTTCATCAACAATAATGAAATCATTGATTTTTTTTATTTACATTCGTTGTTGAGACAAATTATTTTGAGAGTTCGTCAATGTCAATTGTTACAATTTCTGTCAATAGATGATGATAATAAATAATTCAAAATATATAGTTACAATAGATATTGTTATAATGATATAGTAAAAATTAACTTACAAATTTCTTTAGAAGTTTTAATGCATTGATAAAATTCTATTGTATAAACTTGTTCAATTAGAGCTAGTAGGATGTCAACATTGTCAATTCTTTGGAAAATGGTCCTACCGTTTTAGAGTCCAGGTGTAATTGTATTTATGATCAACAACTTTGTAGTTAGGTCGCACATGTCTGACAATAATGTAAGAACAATTTTGTCCGATAAAAAAAATAATAGCATAATATTTGTAAAGTAATGTACAATTGTACTATTATAAAAATATAGACAAAAAAATATTAATACCATAACGACCTAAATCATACCAATAGTGCAAAAGTATAATTGAAATATTAAGTTTTGTTCTAATCTAAATAATCAAACGAAGATTAATTAAACGAAAAAAAAAACTTAACCTATTTTTTTTTTTAAATGCATAAAAATCAAATGATTTTTAAAGTTCTTGATTTATAATCTTTGATGCTTAACTTTGAATGTTAAGCATTTAGTCGGACTAATTATTTGAGCAAAGTTTATGTTAATTTTTATATTATATATATTTTTAATACATTTTAACATGTTCGTAGTATATGTTTAACAATTATATGCCAACTCTAATTTGGATGGTGTTCGAACCTAAGACCTTTTTTATATAAATTATTAATGAGTAAGTTAAAAATAATAAATAGTTAACGGTATATTCCGTTACTAAAGTTTATACTAACGGAATTTATGTTATTTAAGGGAAGAAAATAATATAATAGAGGGTAAATAAGGAAAAACATTAAAAAAAATACTAAAATCAAAATATATGAACCATTCATTTTAATAAACAATACTACCGATATTTTTTTGTTCCAGTTAAGGGTATAACATTATTGACTCTTATTAAAATTGTATGTATTGTAGATGTAAATTTATACCAATTTTTTGCTTTTCATTGTATGAATACATGTTTAATTTTAATTTGACTAGCATGCAAATTAAACACGTGACCTCTTATCTAAAGTCATATACTGCAATATATATATTAAGTAACTCTGTTACAATGCACTATCTATTTGTAACGCTTCTATTGAGTCTCAAACCTCTGACTTCCTATATGGGAGAGTCACTAGACCACAAAGTTATTGACTTTTCTTTACTTATTATATACAATTAAAAGTAAATACAAATATCCCGATCACTTAAGTAGAGTTTTGTTTACAAAATCAAAATAGAGAGAATAAGAATATTATTACAAAGGAATGATATAGAGGATGAATTAAATAGGAATATCATGTTTTCTCAAAAAAAAAAAAAAAAAAGGAATATCATTGTTTGTTTGGATTATGAAATTATATAAGAATTTATATTGAAATGTTTGATTAAGGATATATAGTCAAATGACAAAAATACTTATACTCGAAATAATAAATAAATAAAAGAATATTTTTTGTTGTGAATAAATATATATATATGGATTACTATGTATAGGTATTATACTATGATAATACCTCTTTATTTTTTGTAGTACTGTAATATGGGCGGTATAGTCTATATATCTTGCATATGTTATATTGAAGTATGATAGACTGATGATTCTCTCTATATCTATTGTCTTCTTTTTTTTACTTTACTGTATTTTGTCATATATATAATAATATATCTGTTCATCAAGGATACATCTAGTTTCACAATAAGCAAGTGTTTTACATTATTCTTGGGTGAATGATTTTATAAGCAAGGGATCCCGGTTCGATTCATCGAATCATCAGCAAAACTACGGTATTAGTTGTACGGCTCAGATTTGAACTTCAAAATATTATCAGTCTAGTCAAACTAAACGCAACAACCTTAGGGTTCCATCAAGACTCCCGTAGTCTTCCACCAATATATACGTACTGCGCAGATCTGAACCACCGAACCTGACAAAAGGGGCAGAGACATATCGACATTAAGGCTTATTATTAGCAAGAAGAAACCATCAATTGGATTAGGTGAGAATGAAAGATGAATGCTGTAAATATATTATACAATGAGGAGGCTAAAAAAAAAGGCATTATTCTGGAAGACCAAAGAGACTGTACAAAATGCCACCGAAGTTGATGACGGCTCATCCCAGTCACCACGTACGGATGAAGACCTGGAGAACATGATCAATGAGTACAACCACATCAACACTAATTCAAACGGTACGAACACATCTCAGCTCCGATTATTCCTCTTTCCTTCAAACTCCGACACGCTCACTTCTCGAGAGCTCAACCAAATCCGAAGACTGGTTTTCTGCCGGATGGCTCGGTTTAACATTAAAAACGGCAGTGTAAACTACGCGAAAGTGAATGCTCAAGATGTTCATTTGGTGCCGGATTCGCCTATGTTGGCCCAACATATGTACGGTTGAAGTGAAACATGATGAGCTCATATCAACGGTAAGAATGTTGGGTTTCAAAGGATCAATCATCAATGCAAACACTACCAAAAAAAAAAAAAAAATAGTCATTTACCAACATAATATTAGCGACAGAATCAAAATTTATTGCCCATGAATAAAGAAAAAGGGTTTCAACTTCAAAAACAACAAAAACTAGAACAAACATATAATAACAGATTCGAAATTGTAACCAAGCATCATCCATAGGTTCTATACTTGATTCATAAGTAGAAAGTTTCTCTGGCTCTTTGCTAATAGGAGCTAAAACCCCAGGAAAAAAAAAGAGCCAAAATAGGAATAAGGCTGGATATTATTAGAAATGCCCAAAAAAAAAAAATTATATTCGTATAATCGAAACATAGACATACTCCTATAACATGGAAAATTTATACCGGATTGGTCGATTCGAATTTGAAATTGTCAAGCCATTCATAACTCTTTA